GGAGTGACCAGGAATAACGGTCACAAGCTGGCAGAGGGTAGGTTTAGGTTAGACATCAGGAGGCGCTACTTCACGGTCAGGGCGGCTAGGGTCTGGAACCAACTTCCAAGAGAGGTGGTGCAGGCTCCTACCCTGGGGGTTTTTAAGAGGAGGTTAGATGAACACCTTGCTGGGGTCGTTTGACCCCAGTACTCTTTCCTGCCATGGCAGGGGGTCGGACTAGATGATCTACTCAGGTCACTTCCGACGCTAGAAACTATGACACTATGAAACTATGAGATCCATGTTTTCAGCACCTGTCGTAATATGAGCATGCAGCAACTCAGTGGGGCATCTCTGAAAGACTTGATGGAAGTGCCTGATTTAAAATCCCCATTCTAAGATGGGATGTGTCAGGGCCTTCTTCCCACAGTGCCACATAGCCAGCTGTCACAAACATGTCTGGAATCTGGTTGTCATGTCAGTGTAAGAGAATGCTTAGATACACAGATAAATGAGCAGGGTGTCAGACATGGGTCATTTTCAGGGATGCCAAAGGCATTGTGAGTGCTCAGTGTTACACACCAGGCTGTGCTGGGTCTGCAGGTCAATCTCCAGAGCCTGAACAGTGGGTTTTAGCTGAATGATCTCATTTTGGCAGCCCTGCAGCTGTTCTTCATTGGAGATCACCTCCTTATTCAGTTCCTCCATCTGAAACATAGTGGGATAAGTTAGACAAGTATGGCTCCACTTTAAAAAACAGTTGGGCATTTTTTGAGCTTGGAATTTCTTGGTGATTTGTCTACCAGGAGATGCCCACCTGAGTGTGGTACCAGTTCTCAACTTCACACTGGTTTTTTTTCAATTAAGGTTTCATACTGGCATCTTATGTCCTCCAGGACCTTGTTCAGGTCACATGATGGAGCTGTATCCAACTCTACATTAATACAGTCACCAAGCTGATGTTGAAGTGGAGTAGCTTCCTAGGGGGATGGAAGAGTAAGAGAGTAAACATTTAGAAGGGATCTGTTTTTCTCATTCCCATCAAACACCACCTATGGATATCTCCTGTGCTCTTGTGGTGGTCTTTCTCAGTTCTAACCTCTTGATCACCAACAATGCAGGTCAATACAAATTACACTACAGAAATAGAAGTTAACACGATCATTTTCCTACACCCTCCTCCAAAATTCATTTTCCAGTGTTTTAAAGTGCAGGAGAGAAATTCAGCAAAAGTTCCTGATTTTCTAAGAAAGCCAATTATTTCTTTTTTGAAAAAAAATACATTGTAAAGTGAGTGGAGGTAATAAGCATACCAGAATAGGATGTTTTGAATACTGGAGAATAAAAGTAGAGGGTATGTACATGTTATTAGGAGTATTGTAGATGATATCCAAGATAAAATTGGATGAAACTTTAAAGGTCTTCAGCTAGAGGAAAGCTGGTAAATTCTTTATATGAAAAAGGCTTGACAAATGAAATGCTAACAGCAACCAGTATAAACAATTTTAAAGAAAAAGTTAAATGGAGCTTCACTCACTGTTGACCACAAATGCTATCTGCAAATAGTGGCTGAAACAAGAATGTTGGCCTCTATCTATAAAGCCATTGTATCTTTTCTTAGATCTAATAAATACTCATATGTTTCCACATCTTAATTTCTGTTACTGTTTAGTCACTGTTCAATCTTATTTCCTCATGGTTCTTCCTGAGGCAGAGGAGCTCCTCTGTTAGGGACTCAAGGTCTGTCTCTAGGTCAGTCTTGCATAGGGTCAGGTCATCCAGAAATCTATGCAGACTACTGATGTCTGCCGCGGCACTCTGGCAAAGCCCATGTTCATATTCATACCTTTTGAACGAAGCAAGAGTAACAGTAAATGAACTGTATGCAAAAAAACCCCATCTCATTTTCAATGCAAGTCCTGTACTGTATCATTTCTACCTGTGAAATAAAATGGTATTTTTATATATATTTCCAATTTGAAGCCTGTATGTGTGTGTATTTCCTGTTTTTTCCCCATTTGTTTGTAATACATTTTTTCTGAGGATCAGTAGACATTTGCATGTATGACACCCAAGACTTCTAGATCTCCCTGCATCCTACGCCTGGCAGCCCCAAGCAGCCCCTTGCAGGCTAGAAGGTTGCTAGCCTACAAAGGGAAACCTGCCATTGCCCATGGTTTTCCGTGGTGAATAGAAATCCTGTATCCCTGCATGATACTGAGAATCTGGGACAAATGCAACCTGGGACCAGGACTTGATGTTCCTATTCCAGGACTGTCCAGCCCAATTAGGGATGGGTGGTAACCCTAGCTCCTGGGCTGGATCCAGACTATGGGGCTCTATCTCCATCTCCAGCGGTAGGGCAAGAGGCATCAGGGATTGTTGGAGTTAATGCAGCCATTGTTCACCCCCTGACACTGACACACGTCTCCAGTGCGGCTCCATACCCCATATTTCAGCAGTGGGACCCATTCCCATTCACCCAACCCCCAAATTCCAAAACATCTATAAACACCATAGGCCAGATTACATTGTTATTTAGGCCCTATGTTTGATACCCCTGCTTTAAATTAAAAGAGACATTTCAGAGTGGCACATGGAAGACATTTAAAGTTAGTTTAGAATCCCAGAATGATGGTTAAAAAAAGACATGAGCCTCAGGCTACATGGTTAGTCCAATTTATACATACTTACTTCAAAGAAAAGTCATCAGAAGCCTCTTTAATATTGTCAATATCTAGATGTAGTCTGGCATTCTCAGCCCTGGCACTGCAGATCTGGAAAATGAGATTACTACTGAATGAAGGTACAGTAATATTCTACCCCCTCTCACTTTTAAACTGTTCTCAAACTTACTTCTCTGTGCTTCAGAAAAGCATGTTCAGACTTTCTAGTCACTTAAAACAAGCTGCAATCGCTCCTATCAATCTGAATGTGAATTATAAAATGCCCTTGTGGGCCAATACCTGTTGCTGGAGCTCTTCAATGGTGCTGTAGCAAGAGCTGAAATCTGTGCACACAAGAGAGGTTTGACATTCTTGCCACTCTCTGATTTTGCATTCCAGGTCAGCATTTTCCTTCTCCAGGGATTTCACTTTCTCCAGGTAGGAAGCCAAGCGGTCATTCAAGAGCTGCATTGTCTCCTTTCCATTGCTACTGAAGACTGCTTCATTGTACCTGCAATAGGAGCCATCCAAATAGCATTTAATTGGTCTGGCAGAAGACAGAATACAAGATGATGGTACACTTTCAGGTGATAGGCAGGTTGGTAGCAAATTGCCGTTGGTTTGGCTGCTGCTGGAGAAGTAAGGAGCTGCACAATATAGATTTGGTAGGCAGATATTTGGTTGATAGTAGTTAATTGAATAGCTGGCTGGTAGTTGGCTCCTTATTCCAGAAGAGCAAACTGAGACACTCTTGGCACGCGACATGTATGGAACTTTGCAAGAGCCCCCGATAAATCCCCATGTGCTAGCTGGGGTGCAGCCCTTGAATAACATAGTGTTAGCAGTTTAGTAAAGAATAGCTTTAAGATTTCAGAGTATTTAGAAAGCCCCAGTTATCCAAGTCAAAAGTCTATTTTCTTGCTAGAATTTTATACTCTGTGCTGTGTGAGGTGGCATGTTTGAGGAGCTTCCCCCCCCCTTGTTAATACATGTGACAATTTGTATAAAACCTTCTCCTTAGACTGTTTAATTGTTCTTGAAGCATTTTTTGTGTGTAAAACAAGTTTTAGTTTGGCTTGCCAAGTCAGGAGTCATCACTGGAAGACAGATGTTTGTCACTTGAATAATAGCTTTGCTTGCCCTTTCAGAGACACCTGTCAATTAGCCAAATGCTGAATAACTGGGCATAGGTACACAGAGAACCATTTTACATTATATATTACAAATTGCCTTCCCTCTACTTGTCCCAGCTTAGCAAACTGGATAAAATATTAATTATATTTTTCTTTACTTAATGAAAAATTACAACATGTTTGAACAAGAATATTCCAAAATAGTCCATGATACATGAGCATGTAAATTATAATTGAAGTTTGTTGAGAAGAAACTGTAGTTACACCATCAGGTACCCTGAATGACAGATTAAACACTGACAGACAGAAAAGCAGAGTAAAATGAGTAACAAGAAGAGAAGACCAGTAAGTGAAAATGGCAAAAAGCAGGAATAAAAGTAGTAGAATGGAAAGAAAACCAGTCACAAGTTAACTCACCTGACTTCCTATCCCACACTGAACTGATGATTTGGGTTGCTGCTTCACCTGTACATTGTTTTCCTATTAAAAATCAATGCTATAGCCCAGCTTTCTCACCTAGATGAGAGCAAAATATTTGTCATGTGTATCTTTTCTTCAGTAAGGATAGTCTTGTCTCTAAGGGCCTTGTTACACATTCACTTTAAGCAGCTCTTAACCCCTGGATTGTCCACACATTAACACCTGAAACTAGTTTTAAGCACTCTTTAGGGCTAGGGACAGACATTACACATAAACCGGTTTAAGTGATCAGAAACTGATTTAAACCTGTAACAGAACAAACATTCAGTACACATAAACCAGTTTCAAAATGGCTGAAACCGGTTTGAGATAAACCTGGTTGAACGCAGTATTAGATTTAACTGATCTGGCTCAAACCGGTTTATGCAATGTCTGTCCCAGACCCCTTCCTGGTTTAAATTGAACCAGACTCCCCTAGCATCCTGACATGCTCTCTGGGCTGGGCTCTCGGCTCCAGCCTAGCCAAGCTGGCCCTGCCCCTCTTCTCCCCAGCCAGAGCAGGGGCAGGCAGGGGCAGGGGGCTGGCCAGAGAGGAATTTAATTCCCCCCTCTCTATCCCAGTGGCAGGGACCTGAGGTAGGTCTGCTGGGTGTTCCACCCTCACTGCTGCAGCAATGGGGCACCATGGCCCCTGAAGTAGAGCGGGGCAAGAAGGTGAGTTAGTCTCCTTTCTACCCCCACTGACAGCTGGGTCTGCCCACCGTCACTGCTGCGCTCACTCCCTGTGGCAGAATAGGCTCCTGTTGTCCCTTCCACTGGACACTGGAGGGAGGAGCAATAACCCCCATTCCTGCCCCCTCCCCCAATGGGCCTTGTCTGGTCATGCCCCCATCCCACCACTGCAGGAGGAGGGGACAGGGCCCTCTTTGGGGCAGCAGCCCCTGTCATAATGTCGGGGAGTGCAAGCCCCTTCCCAGTGAGGGTACTGCAGCACTGGGGTCCAGAGCGGGCCAGAGTCCTGCAAGACCCCTGCAGTGCCACCATGATCCACAGCAGCTCTGCCAGCCCTGCAGCATGGCACCTGCCGGGAAGAGGCTTGCGCTTGGGTAAATGGAGGTGGGGGCTGCTTCCCCTGTCACAGTGGCTGCCCCCTTGCCACTCCAGCAGCCAGGCAGGGGCAGGACCAGTGCCACCAGGAGGGCCTCTCGGGGTGGGGACAGGGAGAGGGGTTATTCCCTGTTCTGCCTCTGGGGCGCTGCAGCCAGGTCTCCGTGGCCCAGCCGGTACCGCTGCTCAGTCTGTGCTTAGGACAACATCTGGCAGAATAAGTCCCCTCCTGCCAGGAGGGGGTTGGCCCCAAGCACAGACTGAGTCTGCCCACTGCTTGGCTTGCAGCTGCTGCTCAGTCTGTGCTCAGGGCCAGATTCCACTGGACACTGCCTTGAGTGCAGACTGAGCGGCGGCTGCAACCTGGGTGGGCAAATCTGGC